GGCTGGTACCTGCGGTTATTCCACAGGCTAGTTAATAACATGTCGGGCAGGAAATCCAAAGTGTGGGATCATTTTGAGAAGGTGAAGGACGAACCCAAGGTGATATGTAAACTCATCTTCATTGGTCGACTACAAACATGACGTATCATCTGAAACATGGAAGTAGCTACATGCCCATTAGCCCACAGCACTAGTTTCTATAAATCCTGCAGAGTACGTCTTTAAATATTTTTATTTTACATCCAAATGAAACTGATTAGTGAATCACGATTAATTAATTAGGAGGTGAAAACTGTCTATTTAATCATGATCCTGTAACGACACATGAAACCATCAGAGGAGAAAAGAGCAGCGAGAACGATTTCATCTGAGAAGAGACCGAAAGAGACAACGATGAACTGAGACCGAACCCTTTAAAGTTCAGGGTCAGGAGGTCATCAGTGTGTGTGTGTGTGTGTGTGTGTGTGTGTGTGTGTGTGTGACCTCTGAAGCCTTTACATGCAGCTCTGAGTCTAATTGCTGACGACAGTTTTGACCTCCAGGTTTTTAGTTGCGTCACAAAATCAGTTTGGAGCAGCTGAGACTTCATTGAGGAGGAACATTAGAGAACCATCTGATATCGAACCACATCTGGATACAACACATGGACATAAGTACGTGGCTGACTGACCATATATGTGACAGTGTTTCATTACCTTAAATAAAAATCTAAAAACACCAGTTTTCCAAAACTGCATAAACACTATAGCTACAAATGTTTTGTTATTACTAAGTCAAGGTTTTCCTCACTGAAAAACTAAAACAAAATAAAAACTAAACTAAAACTAGTCAATTACTCACAAAACATAACAATAAAACCTCGTGTTCACTCTTAAAACAAAGTAAAACTGAACTGAAGTCAAAGAACAACAACACCTCGTTAGGTTCAGAGTGAGTCTCCAGGAAATGAATGGAAGTCAATGTAATGTCCTCAACAGTGGAGTGTGTGTGTGTGTGTGTGTGTGTGTGTGTGTGTGTGTGTGTGTGTGCATTAGTGTGTGTGTGTGTGTGTTTACTCACCGACCACAGTGAGCAGCATGTTGTCGAGCAGCAGAGCGACACAAACCACCACCAGGACGAGTCTTGGAGAACCTCGACTCTGATGGAGCCACGCCATGTCTGCACACACACACACACACACACACACGTTTTAGCATTTCTCATATATTTATATTCTGTTTTTGCATCTTTGTCTCCACCTCCTGTCTCTGTTTTCTTGGACAGACGATGAGAGGACGGCCCTCTGGGGAACAGAGACATCTGCAGATTGATCAGAGTCACTTCGTGTCTTATTCAGCGACATGTTGAAGGTTGAACATCAGTGGAAGAACAAGTCACTCAGAACATTATAGATCTCATCTGGTCTGGGAACGCCTCGGGGTCCTCCAGGAGGAGCTGGAGGACGGAGCTGAGGAGAGGGACGTCTGAGTACTTTACTCAGCCTGCTGCCCCCGAGACCCAGATAAGAAGATGAAGATGAATGGATGGAGGTACAGGTTTTGGTGTGCAAGCTGTGCATGAGAACAGTCTGCATGGATGAAAAGTCAGAGGATCACCAAAGCTACTGTATTACAGTTCATCCTGAGAGGAACATGAATGTGGAAGACTGCAGCTAAAAATGCTTCTTGTTCTGTGTTAGTGCTGCCGTCTGCTCGGTGATGTTTGATTCCTGCCTGAAACAGAGCTGAGAGGAGACTGCCAATGTCAATGAATACATGAATATATAATCATGGTTAGCTGAGCAGCAAACAGCCAAACTAGCTCTGTCCAGAATCCAAAAACACAGCCAGATCCACAGCTCGTGTTAAAGCACGGCTCAGTCTAATATCTGGAGTGTGTGATAATAACAGAGCGTCCTGTTGTTTTATTAAAGATCAGACGTGATATGAAGGAGCTCTCACTGAGCTTCTTTATTACAGCACACAGATGTAGATACTGATTCTCCTGCAGACATGTCGTCTTTGTTCTGTTTCTGTTGAATGATTTTTCTTCTTCATGAAACATTTGCAAATCAGAACGTTTCCATGACATCGGAGAAAACTGATTTATATAAATCCCTGTAAACATGTCAGTGTGAGTGAAATGGTCCTGCAGTGAATGTGTCACAGTGGGACTAACACACCCAGATCATGTGACTCCTGCATGTATACAGTCAATCAGAGTCAAACTGGCCGAGGCGCTCTGAGCATGCTCCACAGTTTCCGCCCCGGGCTTTGACCCGGAAGTCCAATAGCATTAAATGTGTAAGAGAAGAAGAAGCCGGTAACAACATGGAGAAATCTACATCCAGAGCCGTGACTTTTTGGACGGACCAAATGTACAGAGCTGTAAAGTTGTCCACCATGGTAGCAGTTAGCTGCTAGCTAACCGTAGCTAACTTGTTTGTCCATTGTTTGGTCTGTGACGTAATAGGTCAACAGGAAAAAGGTCCAATACTAACAAGCTGAAAGGGGGCATATCTCCACCTATCGTAGAGGAGTCGCACATACTTGGCTCAATAAATGGATTCCCCTCCCGTGCTTGTATACTGGGACAAGGACAGTAGGCCAGTTAGATGTCCTCGTCCAGCTGGGACTGGAGCTCCACTTCACTGTGACTGGAGACACACTGAGTGTTTACATCCAGCCGTCTGTCTTCTTCTTCTTTTCCTCTGCTGCTGTTGGAGCGTTACTACATTTATTGGGGTGTTACTGGACACCAGCTGTTAGTCTGCAGAATATCTGGACGCCTTCAAGTGCTGGATGGATTGTGATGAAATATGGCTCATTGTTCATGTTCCCCTCAGGATGAACTGTAATGACTTCCTCTTGCTATCATCAGGTCAACATGTTTACACTGAGAATACAGATGGTCATTGGACAGTGATTTTTGGCGTCAGACACTGACAACACAGCCATCCTTTATCATCAACATTACACACGACCATTCATCCATCTATTTTCATTCTCTTATCAAGGGCCAGGTCTGGGGGCAGCAGGCTGAGCTCCAGACATCCCTCTCCTCAGCAACACTTCCCAGCTCCTCCTGGAGGACCCCAAGGCGTTCCCAGACCAGATGAGATCTATAATCAAAGACCCAGAGATACTTGACCTCCTTCTCTTGAGGCAGTAACTCTCTCCCAACCCAGAGGGAAAAATCCAGTGTTCACCAGTAGAGAACCATGACCTCAGACTGGGAGGAGCTGACTCTCATCCTGACTGCCTCACACTCTAACTGCCCCAGGTCATGATGGAGGTCACGGTGTGATGAAGCCAACAGAACCACATCATCTGCAAAGAGCAGAGACCAGACCCCTTCCTCCCTCCAGCTGCACCCTGAGATCCATGTTTGAGAGAACATCTTTGACTTTGTGCTGAGTGTACGGACTCAGCTCTCACTTTGGTCATACAGGGACTGGATGGCTTGTAGCAATGACCCAGTACCATATACAAACTCCCACGACCCCTCCAGCAGCCTTGCAAGGGTAAAGAGCTGCTCCACTGCTCCACCACCAGGACGGAATCCATAATGAATTATACGTGACCAGTCGCTGTTCTTCTGTAATGATGCCCGGTAGCATCGGAGGAAACGTGGTGGGACAACAACGTAGATTAAGGCGGCAAAAGTCCCAGTAGGACAGGTGGGAGGGAAGGGTGGTGGATGGGTCCAACAACCACCAACTTTCACTCGAGAGGCCAGTGGTCACTTCCTGTAAGATTGTAAAGCCAAACCCTGTTCTTTTTTCCTAAAACCAACCTCGTGTGTGTGTCGGCTAAACGTAACCACGTGTGTGTGTCAGCTAAACATAAACGTGATGATGACAGGCTAAATGTGTGTTGTTTAAGGAAAAAAAACATCAGTTGGTGGTGTTGTACCGACGTAGTGCCTTTATTTTGAAAGAGACTGTATCAGACTGTACATTTCCTGTGAAAACAGAAGTGTATTTTGAAAACAGACAATGCATGTAACAGGCTGAAGTTGACACGGAGTCCCAGAACGTCAACAACCAACACACCCAGGGTATCTTGGACGTCATATGTGGACGTGGAAAGTCCATGACCAAACGTGGACATGTGACGAGGTCACAGTGAGGATGGGTTGTCCTGACACCGATAATGTTTTACTTTAATGTGTCCAGTGTTTTATTTATTTATTAATTTATGACAAAAACCTGCAGGACTAAAGACGTCCCATCAGCCTCAGCTAGACTTTGTGATGATAGCTAATTAGCAATGCGCTAATATGCCAAGCTAAGATGGCAAACATGACACCTTCTACCTATTTCTGTTTGTTTTCTATTGTTCCAGTGAAGTTTGTGTCGTTAGTTCAGAGATGAGTCGACGTGATATCACAGAAACATAAAAACTTTTCAGCAGGTGTTTTTTAGATTTTTCCTCGTTAGCGTGAACTCGAGCGACAGACTGTCTGTTCTGACTGCTGATTGGTTTACAGGCTCTTTCCTCCCTCACTAACACAGTTACCTCTCTCACACAGACACACACACAGACACAGACACAGACACACACACACACACACACACACACACACACACACACACACACACCTCCCTTTATTCTCTTATCTCGCTCCATCTCTCCTCTCCTCTCCTGTTTGATGGAAAATTGATCTGAAATTTAATTTTGTTTCTTTAGAAAAAAAATCCTGCAGATCATCATCAGTCTGAGATCATCTGTTTTATATTCAGTTTATATTCTGAATTATTGCATGAGACATGTCAGTGAAAACGTCTCCTAATGTCGATTCTTGGTCGCTTCATGGAAGTTAAATAAAATAAACACAGACAGACGCTGGCTAAGAAACAGATGATAATCAACGATCAACACCTGAGCTGATGTGATATATAATCAGTACATGTGAAACAGCTGCAGATACAACAGCAGCATGGATTGAACTAAACTCAAAAATAAATCAAAACTAATAAGAACAGAAATAAAATGAAATAAAGTAAAATAAATAAATAAAATCTTCATATTTCCTGTTTGAATATGAAGCTCAGCTGACAGTAAACATTAAGGAAAATAAGAAAAGAGGTTAATAAATCTAAAATATATTTAATAAAATCAATAAAACAATAAGTAATATTAAAAATAAAACAAAAGAAATTTTACGCTTTCAAGCAATAAAAGCTCATTTGATTTTTTTTCTCAAGAAAATAAATATAAATAAATAATCTGATTTATACCTACTAAATATAATAAATAGTAAATATAAATCAGAATACAATAAATCAAATAGATTAAAATAATACAAAAAAATAAATAAAATACATCTTAACAACTCAGACATTTAAGAAATTAAAATCCCTATATACCATCACACCACCATATATAGTGCTGAAACATGAGTAATTAATACTTTAATAGTTTAGTTCCTCTGAAACTGACAAATGTAGCTGAAATAAAAAAGTATATCATTGAAAAAGAAAAAGCCAAACAAACTGATCATCTGCTAAATAAAATAAATTAAATATTTTTTCTTTGTTCTCTTTTCAACTGAATACATATTACAGATATTTCATTTACATTCGCTAAATAAAAGCTCAAATAAATCTGGTAAATAAACCGAGACTGATTTGGACTTTAAATTTTCACAGAGTCTCATATGAATTAAAATAAAATTGAACAGACGTCAGTGATGTGACGACGGACAGACGGACAGGTGGCTCCTACCTGAACCTCTGATGCTCTTCTTCTTTTTCTTCTTCTTCTTCTTCTGGTTCTTTAGGCTGCTGACGGAGCGACTATATATCTGATCTGAGGGGAGGAGAGAGGAGAGGACAGAGGAGACAAGGAGGCAAGGAGAAGAGGAAGGAGTGAAGGAAGGAAGGAAGGAGGAGGGAGGAGGTGGATGTTTCCTCTTTTATTCTGATAAAAACAGACAATATGGAGACACACACACACACACACACACATCTACACACCAGCAACGCAAATGATAGACCCTCTGACCTGTGTGTGTGTGTGTGTGTGTGTGTGTGTGTGTGTGTGTCAGTAATTGTGAGCATCTGCTGTCCTTTTATTGAAGCCTGGAACAACCTGCAGGCTGGAGACCTTATCACACACACACATCTACACACACACACACACACACACACACGCACACACACACACAGGTCTGTTTACACTGTCGCTCTGTGTGAAGAGACTGTTTCATGTCTGTTTGTCCTCGAACACATGAAGTCACTTCACGTATGAACAAATAATCCACAAAACAAAGAACATTCACAAATTAAACTGTGTGTGTGTGTGTGTGTGTGTGTGTGTGTGTGTGTGTGTGTGAATCAGAAACCAGCCGTCTGTCTCCACGTCACTGCTGATCATTTTTCCAAATCATCCATCAGTTGTTACAGACTTCCTTCCTTCAGGCAGCTGCACGTTTCAGGCTGATGATGGTGATGATGATGGTGATGATGATGGTGATGATGATGGTGATGATGGAGGGTGTGTATGTGCGTGGTTGGGGGGGGGGGGGGGGGG